AAGATCAACTTTCCCATAAATAGAAAGTTCCATATATGGAAAGTTTCCAGAAATAGAAAGTTTCGTAAAATAGCAAGTTTCCCAAAATAAAAGATTCCCTAAAATAGCAAGTTTCCCAAAATGGAAAGCTACCAAAATAGGAAATCCCTTCATAAGGAAATATTCCAAAACCCTAAAATACATAATTGTTTAGGATTTCTTTCTAGATGAGAAATAGAAATTTTTCATAAAAGGAAAGTTCCATATAAGGAAAATTTCCATAAATAGAAAGTTCCATACATAAAACCGAAATCCTAGCAAAAACCCTAGTACTATAAATCGCGGATGCTAAAACCCTAAAACTTAACCGCGAAATCCTAATATCATAATCTAGTATGATCCGATTGTTTGGTTGTTGCATACTAGATCAATCTTCTAGGGTTGATTTCATCCATATATATATATATAACATGATTGTTTAGAAAACACTTGCTGAAGACAAGCATGGCTCGGTCTCAAATACCGCATGACTTGGTCTAACCGATTACATGAGTTCTCATTTAACTCTATATATTATAGATGTCAGAAATCAACTATTATGAATACACGACACTCAATGCCTCTGGTGACAATTATTTACAATGGGCTTTGGACACTGAGATTGTCCTAAATGAAAAAGGGCTTGGTGAATCTATTGTGGAAGGAAACAATGTCACCAGAAGAGAAAGATATAAGGCGATTACTGACATACGCCATCACCTCAATGAGAGTCTCAAAATCAGTACCTCACTATTAAGAATCCTCTGGACCTCAGGACAGAGTTGAAAAAAAAAAAAAAAAAAATCAATATAACCACCAAAGAACGGTGCTATTACCCAAAAGCCCGATTCGATCGGGAGAATAGTGTCAATACTGAGATTCCGTGGTGAGGAAGTTACTGAGAATGACTTGCTAGAGAAAGCATTCTCGACCTTTCACACAAACAATATATTGCCTCAGCAACAATATCGTAAAAGAGGTTTTTACCACATATGCAAGTCTAAACTCTTGTTTTTGGGGAGGACTCCTCTGTAGAGAGTGCTAAGGAGTGAGGCTTTGGAGAAACCGTGATGAGAACATTGATTCTGATATGCTACTTGCTGAGCAAAACAATGAGTTATAAATAGTGAAATGAGACCTCCTGGTCCTACCCCATTATCAGAAGCCCGTTGGGCTGAAGAGCCTAAAGAGCCTAAAGAGCCTAAAGAGACTAAAGAGTCTAACCACGTCCAAAGAGATAAGTATCATGGCCACAGTCATGGTAAATGGAATGGACGTGGTAGAAGTGGAAATTATAATTTATATGATCAAGGAAACCATTCATATGGTTAAGGCCGCCGACCCGACTTTGGTCGTTATCAAGTTAGAGGCCGTGGTATACCCAAACCACAACACTCAAATAAACTTGTTTGCCACTGATGAGGAATGGGGGAACCATTGGACTAAGACGTGCATGACTCCTAAGCATCTCATTGATCTCTATCAAGAGAGTTTGAAAAGAATCTAGAAGCTCATTTCATCACAATGGTGAAGAAGATTTCGACCATGAGATAGATGACTATGAGACTTCGGAATGCCAACGAAATATCCAAAGACATGGTTGATTAGCCAAATTGCGGGTATAGCTAAATTTAGTGAAGGCTAAGGGCAGGCCCATGGCAGGCCCATATTCCCAAGGGCACGCATCCTCAGATGCTTCATATTCACCCAGCTCAAAGGGGTCTTGTTGAGTTTCAAAGAAAAATGTTTGAATGGTTTCCACATTGAAACTAAGGGTGAAGGGAACAAAGGATTCCCATATATTACTAAGAGCACCCAAGACCATGAGAAGGTCTTAGAGACTATACCCGCGTCATAGACCTTTACTATGCCAAGGTCAATATGATAGAGGCTAATACAGTAAACAAAAGGGTTTACTGAGAAATTCACTAATGGCATGACCGGCTTGGCCAGCCTGGTTCTAACATGATGCGTAAAGGTGATATTAAAATCAAAAGGGCACACTCCTTAAGGACCTCACGTGTGCAGCATGTACACAAGGGAAACCCATACTAAGGTCATCACCAGTCAAAGCAACTAGAAACTTGGTGTTTGCTAGATTGCTGGCCCAGACCATAAGTCTGTGAGCCCACATACTTAAGACTATATGTCTAGATAATGCTGGTAAATTATGTCTCAAGCGTTTTATGGCTACAGTATGTCCATGAGGGGGAGAGTAGTATACCCCGTGGCACATGTCCATACTTGAACTGACAGTATCTGCTTGGGGACACACAATATTGCATGCAACAAGAGCTTATACGCATCAGGCCATTCTAGTGAGCATAGATATTCCCCATCCCAATTGCTAACGGGTCATGAGCCAGACGTTTCCCATCTTAAGACATTTGGGTGTTCAGTCTATGTACCCATTGCACCACCACAGAGAGCAAATGATGGGACCTCAAAAGGGGATGGGAATATACGTTAACAATGATTCTCCCACCATCATTAAGTATCTCGAGCCAAAGGCCAGATTCAAGGATTGTCATCTCAATGAATCCGTTTTCCCAACACTGGGTGGAGAGACTAACAAGTTGGTCAAAGAACTTACATGGAATCAAACATCCTTCACATGGCAAGATCCTCGGACTCCATCAGAGATCCAAAAGACTATATATCTGCAAAAGCTAGCTAAAACAGTTGCCAAGATTCCTATAATGACCCAAAGAGAGTAACAAAATCGTACATACCAGCTTGTAATGCACCAGTACGTATTGATGTTCACAAGGAACACAATCAAGTTGCTACAGAGGCTACAACACGTAAGAAACGTGGTAGACCCAAAAGGTTCCAAAGACAAGAACCCTCGGAAATCAAAGAAAGGTGCAAGGGAAACCGAGAAGGTTCAAGAAACCATAGACATGGCCGGCTAATAGACATAACCCTAAGGTACCAATCAATGAGATTTGGGACGCCAAACCTCAAGGTCCTGAAGGTGTAAAGAGATCTCTATAAACTATATCATGTCTAGAATACAATGGAACCGAAAAGATGTCGACATAAATGATAATATATTTGCGCACAAGGTAGCAACTGAAATGAATGAGGATCAGGAGCCCACGTCTATACTAGAGTGCACTCAAAGACCTGATTGATTAAAATGGTACAAGACCATAAAACGTGGAGCTAATAATCATTAAGAAGAAGAATGTGTTTGGTCCAATACGAAGGACACCATTCAATGTAAAGCCAGTGGGACAAATGAGTCTTTGTGATTATGTGAAATAAACATAGTGAAAGCGTGATATATCAGACACGGCTTGTCGCACAAGGATTCACACAAAGACCAGAAATAGAGGAGATATACTCCCCTGTGGTGGATGCTAAGACATTTAAATTTTTGCTAAGTCTGGCTATATAAAAGAGAAAGATTTGCGGCTAATGGATGTAATGCCTGCATATTTATATAAGTTCACTGGATAATATATGAGATTACCAGAGGGTATTGAGCTCAAAGATAAGAAAGATTTTCGAGAACAGCACTGCATAAGGCTGGACAAATCCTTATATGGACTGAAACAAAGCGGACGTATGTGGTATAACCGGTTAAGCGAATATCTCATCAGAGAAGGCTATAAAAACGATCTGATCAGTCCATGTATTTTTATCAAGAAGTTTGCAAACAAAGGATTTGTAATCATAGCAGTGTATATGAATGATTTAAACCTCTAGATAATCGCCCAAACAGTTGAGTATATCTAAAGAAAGAATCTCAAATGAAAGACCTAGGCAATAATTAAGTTCTGTTTGGGATTACAACCTGAGTACGTGAATAATGGAATCCTTGTGCATCAAATGGCATACACTGAAAGAGTACTCAAGGAGATTTAATAAGGACCAGGCCCGCCCATTGACCAGGCCCAATGGTGGTGAGAAGCCTCAAATTGGATAGTGATCCATTCAGTCCGGAAATGCCATACCTCAGTGCCATAGGAGTTCTAATGAATTTGGCTAGACACACTAGACCAAACATTTGTTTTGCCGTGAGTCTCCTGTCTAAATTTAGTTCATGATCAACCCAAAGGCACTGGAAAGGTTTAAAGGAAGGTTTGGTTAAATTTTAAAGTTTATTCTTCCTGCGTTGTTTACTTGGGTTTATTCTATACTGATCTAACCAAAGAAGGTCCAGTTTGCTTTGGTTTAGTTTGATTTGCTGATGCAGGTTATTCATAAGATCAGATTATGGCATGGTCAATGAATAGGAACTACGTGTGGCTTGATCCCTTCCACGGGTACGTAGGCAGCCTTCCTTAAGGCGCAGCTACTACTACATCAAAGACCATCATATTTGAAGACAACACAGCCTGTATTGCTCAACTCAAGGATGGCTACATTAAGAGAGACCGGACGAAGCACATTTTGCCAAAACTCTTATTCACTCATGAATTACAGAAGGACGGTCAGGTCAAAGTTCAACAGATCCGGTCAAGTGAGAATTCAGCCGACCTATTCACCAAATCATTGCCGACTTCAACGTTCCGGGAGCTCATTCATCAGATCGGGATGCACGGACTTAAGGATCTACAGTGATGCTCAAATCAGGGGCAGTAATGCGTGTTGTACTCTTTTTCCTTCACCATGGTTTTGTCCCACTGGGTTTTCCTGGTAAGGTTTTAATGAGGCAACATTCCCCAGCGCATTATAGAGATCCCGGTTTAGTATCGGGCACGGTTATGTCTTCCAAGGGGGAGTGTTATAAACCATATGGATGGACTCCATAACCGGCCTACGGCCCATTAGGGTTTTACCTTATTCTCTGTATCCTGCTATTATCCTTGTATATATATCCCCTTTTCTATTAATGAAAGACACAGTTCACAACAATTTTATAGTACTCCGATCTTCAATACTTATTTAAGATTGTAGCTATATATGCTTTTAGGGAAAATTAAAGACATTAAATATTTGTTACCAAGAAATACTCAATAACTAAAGAGCCATGATCATAATCCTAAGTGATCTAAGATGAAACTTAAAATACTCAATTAGCATATAAACTAAAAACATCAACAAACATTCCGATCATAATCATATCCTAATCCTGATCCTTCTTTATAGTTTTCTTGTTGTTGAAGAAATGAATCAAGCGCCACCGTTTACATCAGCTTCCTTATGATTACGGCTTCAATCTCTTCTCTTCTTCCTTTGCTTTCTTCTTCTTCCTCCAAGCTTCCTTCTCTGCTTTGTTCTTCTCTTCTTCCTCAGCCATCTTCCTCGCTTTCTCCTTCTCTTCCTCCAAAGACATAACCAAACGCTTAAGACAAATCTCCACATCTTCTTCCTCAGACTTCGGCATCAAATTCTCAGCAACATCAGCCGGAGACATGTCAACTTCCTCCACCAATCGTTTAATCTCTCCATACAAGTCATGTGACTCAATCTCCAAGTAGTTCTTAGCCAAAACCTTAAAAGCTTCAAATCTACAATAAGACATCTCAATATGATTATCCATTCTTCCTCTACGTATCAATGCCGGATCAAGATTATCCACAAACTTCGTTGTGAACACTATGATCTTCTCTCCACTACAAGCTGACCATAACCCATCAATGGCGTTTAATAGCCCTGACAAAGTAACTTTACTATACTTCTTCTTCTCAGCTTCTTTCATCTCTTCTTCATCCTCTTCATCCTCATCTTCCTCCTTCTTTTTCTTTCTCTGTCCCGTAAGATCAAGCGAACAATCAATATCTTCAATCACAACTATAGACTTCCCTTTTGTGTCCAACATTAACTTCTTCAACTCTGAATTATCTGCCACTGTTGTTAACTCAAGATCATACACATCATACCCTAAGAAATTAGCCATTGCAGATATCATTGTCGATTTCCCTGTCCCGGGCGGTCCAAACAAGAGATAACCTCTCTTCCACGGCTTCCCAACCTTCTTGTAATAATCTTTCCCTTTACTAAACTTTATCAAATCCTTCTTTATCTCTTCTTTCTTCTCTGGATCCATAGCTAAAGACTCGAACGTTGCAGGATGATCAAAAGAAACGTTGCTCCACTTTGATCCTGATCTCCAAGAGCTCCAATCGTGACTCGAGTTATTAGTGTAAAGCTTCCTCTCTCTCTTCTTAAGCCCAATCTCTTTCCCTTCTCTCAAAACATGATCAAGATAAGTCTTTGTGATCATATCTCGATGCCGACTATGGAAACTCAAAGTCAAGTACGTTATCTCCCCAAAACCCTTATCACGGTTCGTACTAGACCGATTATGGTTCTCTCTCACGCTTGATGACCACTTCACCTTCACACCTTGAAACACATCTTCAACTGTCTCGTGATCATCCAAACTAAGCACCAAAGATTTGCTGTTTTTAGACTCGTTGGCCTTTAATCTGTTTCCAAGAGCTGTTGATTTCGTGGACAAGTAGTTGCGTATAGAGTCATACGCTTCACTTTTCTCGAGACCTTCTCCAGAATACTCGTTGAACTTGATGTGAACAGAACTAGAAACCCATCCCATCAACTTGTAGACGTATTTCTCAATGTGGACTTGGAGATGGTAAGGGAAGATTTGTTTGTACATCGCCCAGAAGAACATAAGGCTCGTCATCGTTGAGCCTGTGAAACCCCAAACTGATCCGGTATGAAGCATCTTTGTGTTTGCTTGTGTTCCAAGAAACTCTCTTTGCTTTCTGTTTCTCTTGAGACTTTGCTCTGTTGTTGGTCTCATCGGTTCTAAACCACTCACTCTCTATTTATCTTACTCTTGTTACAACTTTCGAGTGTCTCAGAAAAATGCAAGAAAATTTATTGTTATTTTGATAAAATTAATATTTATAATATTCTGAAATTATTGAGTACGAATGAGTATACATATTTTTCATGTTATTGAGTACGAATTTGACTAAAAAGTATTCAAAGATTTTTGTTTATTTGCATAAATCATGAAGATGCTATGAGCTTGAAGCTAGGTGTGGGGACCAACCTGATTCTGATTTCTGACCGCAATTATGGAGCAAGCAATGTAAAAATATAGTGGTGATGTAAAAGTTTTGGTACTGAAAATTCATTTAATTTTATACACACAAATTTGTTCCATCACTGTAAATATATGCACTGGTTATGGAATAACAATTTTGTTTAGTTTTTTTTTTTTTTTTTTTTTTTTTGTGTTTGGAAAATTGAAGAGCATTTGTAGTTTTAGAAATGTGAATCCATCCATCCACATGACAATTACTATCCATAAAACTTCATAAAGTTGCTGAAGCTTTTTCTTAGATGTTCCCTAGTCACTTGCTTTTCATTTTTTTCTTTCTTTCACATGAACCATTGTTGGTTACATGCCTTGTTTGAAAAATTGGTAGGCGCTAGTCGGGCGTTCGGTATGGGCCTAGCGATTAATTGGAAAATCGGATTAAAATCGGAGATTAATCGGGGATTAGTTTTAAGGTTATTTTAATATTTTAAAAACATATTAATCTAATATTGTTTTCAAAATTGCAGTAAACACATAACTGTATTTTTGAGACAAATTTTTATGATTTTTATTTCAAATTTATGATTTTTATTTCAAATTTGAACATAAGTCATTGGAAAACATCACAAACTCCTAATTTAAATGATTGAATAACAAAAATAATTTTTTTTTTAATACTTGCAATCTAAATGTAACACCCGTCCCGGCATATAGGCCAAGACATCATGCTATTCATCCGATCTTCCCAAAACATTTTCTTTAAACTTCACCCACGAACAAAACATTGCACAACAACTCATGAAGCTAATTCACCTAAGGAAAAAAAAGAGAAAGTGGGTGAGTAAAGAATACTCAGTGAGGAGAATCAACTCTGCCCACTGAAACATAGAACATTTTCTTAAGCTATACAACGACCATCATGATAGCATATAAACTTTGATACAAGCAATCAACCTAACATGCATTAACTTCTAACAATACATTCATAACAACCATCTTATCCATACTAACACACACATACATATCATTAGGCCCAATCATCCTCGTGATGACTAGAACCTCATGAGTGGAGGCTAGCCCTTGGGCTCAGACACTCCTTTTCCGTGCTCGTCATCCATTCTTGACCAGCTGTTATCCCGTCGGTCCATCACTGTTCATCTTTACTAGGGAGACTACGGCCCATTGCTCGATTCTCCCCAGTCATATATACATACATAATCATCATCATACTTAGAATACTCATACTTAACATATCATATGTAACATCACATTATCAAACATCATACATATCAAACTCAACAATCATCAAGTCATACCATCACACAATCTTATTCTATACAATCAGATCTAAGTCTACATATCATGCGTCAAGAGGCATAACAAAATAAAATGATACTATGCTTCGCAAATACCACCCTCACCTTAGCTTGGTTGAAGATGAAGAACATCTCTCCCCTCCTTTCTCTTTTAGACGCACTTAATATCTTAACTGTAACCACCTGTTCTTTACCTATACTGTGATTCCCCATCCACTAAGATCTTACTCCATGATTCATGAAAGCTTCTGCAAGGTTTCAGCTCAAACCGAGCTTATTTACCCGACAAACAATACAACCTTGTTACCATATACTCTAAACCGAATTGTCTCGGAAAGATATGTATAAATCAATAACTAACCGATAGAAACGTAATCCCACCGTTGAATATGTAGCCAGAAAAGTCATGAACCACTCCACCAAATTTTGTCCCGATCAGCATAGTTTCAGACCGTCAAACGTTGCCTCGAAGAAGCCAATACGAAACTGTTTTTTGCAGTTGCTTGTCCTGGAAGAAACATGCATAACTTCTCGAATATAACCTCGATTCAAACTCCGTCAGTTGCTGTGGATTCTTGAAATCGTGATATTTCTGTAGATGCATTACTTGTGATATGGATCTCTCTGGTCTATCGGGAATTCTCCCCGCAAGACGCCCTCTTGAAACTGTTCTTCCTCCTTCCTCTTTGCTCCTATTTTTCATCGATCTGCTCCGATCTTCTTCTGTCTCCACTTTTACTTTGTATTATAAACCAAATTTTCCTCTCTAATGATTTATATTCATGGTGGTGGTGATCTCTTCTCCTCCGCGACGTTACGCCTCCATCTCGCTTCCTTCTCCCGATACCCTTCTCTTCTCATCGTTTTCTTTCTCCCCAAGCCAAACCATGTTCATTCTGCTAGATCGAGTCCTATTTCTCCATTGGTGTTTCAGCTCTCTCTCACATCCCTCCTCGGTTGATTGATCACCATGACAACGACGACTATCTCTTTACGAATAACTTCAAAGACAAGAATACGACTATAACTTCTCAAGTCTCAATGAATAAGTGATGGTCTGCTTATAGGTTTAGGTTTCACGTTTCTCTTTGACGGCTTCCCTGAAGAGGGTGATACATACACCAATATATATTCACACGTTACCAAAAGAGAATGGGCCATTCATGGGCTCTATCATAATGCCAAAACAAATTGGCCCAACAATGTGGGAGTGGGGTGTTACACTAAAAATAATCGGGATATGTAAGATTAGGCGGAGAGTAATCGGATTAGGCGGGAAATAATCGGATTAGGCGGAGAGTAATTGGATAACTGATTTCTTTAGGGGATTAGTCATTAATCAAGGCGGGTGGACCTAGCGATTAAGCGGGGAGTAATCGGACTAGGCGGAAATTTTTAGAACATGGGTTACATATAGTATTAGATGTACCTTGTTGTATGAAATATTATCTATATAATAATAACAATCCGAATAAATGTTTTTTACAGTTATGAACAGTAGTATATTTTTATCACAATTTTTCGTTACAATTTTTATTTAACTAAAAATTATATTTTACGGTTGTGTTTTTTTAGAAAGTTGAAATCTAAATAAATATTTTCTACATTTGCGTTTTTTATCTAACTTTTCATAAACGGTTGCAACCGTTTAGTTGAACCATTGCAACATTTACTTTATTTTATGAACAGTTGAAACTGTTGGTTTATTTTATAAATCTCGTCTTTCGGTGTAATTTTTTATAAATTATTATTTTTAATTACTAAAAGGTATTTAAATAAAATTATAACCGTTTAGTTGAATCATTACAATATTTAGTTTATTTGACGAATCATTGCAACTTTTGGTTTTGTTTTATGAACCACTGAAATCTTTAGTTTATTTGATGAACCGTTGCAGCATTTAGTATATTTCATTTAAAATAAACAAAATATTATGACGGTTCAATTAAACGGTTACAATTTCATTTAAATAAAATTTAGTAATTTTTTTTTTTTCGTCCATAATTAAAATTTTTAAATAATACTTTTTAAAAAGCACCGAGACGCGATTATAGATAATTTAAATGTTATAACGATTTATAAAATAAACCAATAGTTGTAATGGTCTGTTAAATAAATTGGTGCAATGGTTCAACTAAACGATTACGACCATTTATGAGGAGTTATACAATAAAAAGACGCAACGTTTAGGTCTCCATTTCATATATATATATATATATATATATATATATATATATATTAATTTATTTAACAGAAAATTTTGTCAATTGATGTTCAATTCATTTTATACTTTATAGATGAATATTAATTTCTTGATCCCAAGATATATAATCCCAAAATTAAATCATTATGTTTCATTTCTTAATCTGAGAAATATATTGTTTTCTTGAAATTATTTTGGTGTTAATGAACATTTTTAAGTGTTTACGAGTAATTAAATTTTGGCAATACCAATACTAATAACCTTTTTGCATTTCAGACTACATAAAACAAGAGTTCTAATCTACTTATATATGATAATAATATAAAATGAGCTCCTTAACCGGGGGAACAACGCCTCCAACGTCCCTGGGCAGTGAAGTGCTCTGTTTTAATTCAATGTTTGGCGACGTTTTTTTCTATTTCCACTTTGTAAATTATCCAGTCCTCTTGTTGATTTGAATAAATATAACATTCAAACAAAAAATATGATAATAGTAAAATTATGAGAATTAAGAGTCATGTAACTTTACTCTTAATAGTGAAATACTCATAGTACCAAATCAATTGAAAATTAAGAAATAATCTTTCTAGAATAATCTCACGAATTAGGTGGATTGCAAAGTTTTGATATTTTATAGCAATCTTGAAAAAAATGGGTAGAAAAACCTTTACTTTTAAAACATATAAAAAACCTTCAAATTTTTTTGTCGGTTTGTAAACCCTCGCTTTTCATAAATGGTATATAAACCATATTACTAATAACCTCAACTTTAATTTAAACAAATTCTTATATTAAAAAGCAACAAACAAAAACAATTTATTTTATGATTTAATTTTTTCAAATTCGAGTTTGCGATTTTTTTTCTTCTAAAATCAATTGAGAATCCAAATTCCGTAAAAGTGAGTCTCATCATCTACCTTTGAGTAAGAAATTATGAGAAAATGCAGTAAGGCTACAATTGAATAGCCAAATATTTTTTACTGTATCCATTATTTTTGTTATGTAAGAACGCATGTGGATGAGAGGATCAAAGTATAAACATTCTTGATCTAATGTATTTATATTAAAAACATTATTTCACTAATAAAATAATACCAAACCTAGAATGTTTTAAAAAGAAAAATAAACCTCTGTTTTTAGGTAATAAAATAAATGATTGTAAATTCGATGTCAATTGATTTTTTTATTTAGTCCATTTAAAATTTTAACCTATGATTTTTTTTGGTAATAAATTGCTTTGACACGTTATCTATTTTCTATTAATAAGTTGTTTTGGCACATTATTTACTTTTGTTAACAAGTTAGTTACGTTCTTTTCTTGTATTGAGTTTTAAATTCAAG